GGGGAGCCAGTACTTGGCACAGGCAGCTCTGGGGGCTGATGCCGGAGCAGGGCCATGTCTCCGTCCCCGCGTCTGCTGCCCCTTTCCCGGGCCCTTCCACGCCCGCCCCTGCGCCCCCAAAATGCAGCGACCTTGCGGGGGGGGCATCTCCTGACCTGGATGGGATTGCCCAGCCGGGGAGCTGACAACGCACCACCTGGCGCCTGCCGTGGGCTGGGCCCCCCAGAGCTCCCCCTCCAAGGGTGGGGCCTGCTGCCCCTTCCAGTGGGGGGACCAGGCCCTGGGAGCAGCAGGGAATCAGGCCAGAGCTGGGGCCCCTCCCCCCCAAAGTCCCAGGACATTAACCAGCCCGCGGGGCCCCTCTGCACCAGGGACACGGCTGCTCAGCCCATTGTACAGACAGGGAAACTGAGTCAGGGACCGAGCGACTGGCACAAGGGCTCCCAGGAGTGCAATCAGAGCCGGGGGAGAACCCAGGAGTCCTGGCTCCCAGCCCCCTGCTCTAACCACTAGGCTCCAGAACCCCACAACCCATCACACCAAGGGGCTCTTTCATGGAAGCTGGTCAGGAAGGTGGCAGGCACAGGCCCGGGCCAGGACACCAGACACCGCCCTCTGGGCAGGTCCCTCCCCGGAGCAGAGCCCCCGGGCCCCGCACCAGCCCAGCCCCATCTCTGCCTCCAGCAGCTCCAGGAGACGGGGTCCCCCCAGGCCCTGCAGGATGCCATGTGCCGGACTGGTCTCAGGCAGCTCCCTGCTCCAGCCAGCTCCGCGCCTGCCCCTCGGGCCCATCAGAGGGGACTGAGCTCTGCTCAGAGGGCAGCTGGGCCTCAGGGCTGGGCATGGCCGTGGGGTGGTGCATGGGATGCCTGGCTTCCATGCCCATCCCTGCAACAGACCCTCCTCCCCTTGTGCTGGCTCCGTGCTTTGGTTTCCCCAGCTACTTTGTGCCTCAGTTTCCCCAGCTGCTCTGTGCCTCAGTTTCCCCAGCTGTAAAATGGACAGAATGACCCCTCGATCTAGCAGGCCTGGAAGCATGATGGGACAGGGGAGCTGGGCCGTGGGATGCCTGGCTTCCATGCCCATCCCTGCAACAGACCCTCCTCCCCTTGTGCTGGCTCCGTGCTTTGGTTTCCCCAGCTACTTTGTGCCTCAGTTTCCCCAGCTGCTCTGTGCCTCAGTTTCCCCAGCTGTAAAATGGACAGAATGACCCCTCGATCTAGCAGGCCTGGAAGCATGATGGGACAGGGGAGCTGGGCCGTGTCGGGTGCCAGCTGAGTCCCGCTCGGGAAGGCCCGTGGATCCCAACTCTCCTGCCCTACAACAGCCCATGGGCCCAGCCCTGCTGTTTGATCTCCCCACCCTGCCGCCACCGCCCTGGGATTCCACCCGGACCCTGGTCCACGCCAGGCACCGCCCGGGCAACCGGAACGTGAGCCAGAACTGAGGGCGGGAGACAGGAGCCCCTGGGAAACTCACCCCCTGGAGTCCCAGCGTCCCTCTGTTCCCCCGGCGTCCCTCTGTCCCCCACTCCAGCATCCCTCTGTCCCCCCAGCCTCCCTCTGTTCCCGCAGCACACAACACCGCACACACTGCAGCAACACAGCACCGCACACACAACCGCACACGCTGCAGCAACACAACACCGCACGTGCCGCAGCACCGCACACACAACCTCACACGCTGCAGCACACAACACCGCACACGCTGCAGCAACACAGCACCGCACACACAACCGCACACGCTGCAGCAACACAACACCGCACGTGCCGCAGCACCGCACACACAACCTCACACGCTGCAGCACACAACACCGCACACACTGCAGCAACACAGCACCGCACACACAACCGCACACGCTGCAGCAACACAACACCGCACGTGCCGCAGCACCGCACACACAACCTCACACGCTGCAGCACACAACACCGCACACACTGCAGCAACACAGCACCGCACACACAACCGCACACGCTGCAGCAACACAACACCGCACGTGCCGCAGCACCGCACACACAACCTCACACGCTGCAGCACACAACACCGCACACGCTGCAGCAACACAGCACCGCACACACAACCGCACACGCTGCAGCAACACAACACCGCACGTGCCGCAGCACCGCACACACAACCTCACACGCTGCAGCACACAACACCGCACACACTGCAGCAACACAGCACCGCACACACAACCGCACACGCTGCAGCAACACAACACCGCACGTGCCGCAGCACCGCACACACAACCTCACACGCTGCAGCACACAACACCGCACACACTGCAGCAACACAGCACCGCACACACAACCGCACACGCTGCAGCAACACAACACCGCACGTGCCGCAGCACCGCACACACAACCTCACACGCTGCAGCACACAACACCGCACACGCTGCAGCAACACAGCACCGCACACACAACCGCACACGCTGCAGCAACACAACACCGCACGTGCCGCAGCACCGCACACACAACCTCACACGCTGCAGCACACAACACCGCACACACTGCAGCAACACAGCACCGCACACACAACCGCACACGCTGCAGCAACACAACACCGCACGTGCCGCAGCACCGCACACACAACCTCACACGCTGCAGCACACAACACCGCACACACTGCAGCAACACAGCACCGCACACACAACCGCACACGCTGCAGCAACACAACACCGCACGTGCCGCAGCACCGCACACACAACCTCACACGCTGCAGCACACAACACCGCACACGCTGCAGCAACACAGCACCGCACACACAACCGCACACGCTGCAGCAACACAACACCGCACGTGCCGCAGCACCGCACACACAACCTCACACGCTGCAGCACACAACACCGCACACACTGCAGCAACACAGCACCGCACACACAACCGCACACGCTGCAGCAACACAACACCGCACGTGCCGCAGCACCGCACACACAACCTCACACGCTGCAGCACACAACACCGCACACACTGCAGCAACACAGCACCGCACACACAACCGCACACGCTGCAGCAACACAACACCGCACGTGCCGCAGCACCGCACACACAACCTCACACGCTGCAGCACACAACACCGCACACGCTGCAGCAACACAGCACCGCACACACAACCGCACACGCTGCAGCAACACAACACCGCACGTGCCGCAGCACCGCACACACAACCTCACACGCTGCAGCACACAACACCGCACACACTGCAGCAACACAGCACCGCACACACAACCGCACACGCTGCAGCAACACAACACCGCACGTGCCGCAGCACCGCACACACAACCTCACACGCTGCAGCACACAACACCGCACACACTGCAGCAACACAGCACCGCACACACAACCGCACACGCTGCAGCAACACAACACCGCACGTGCCGCAGCACCGCACACACAACCTCACACGCTGCAGCACACAACACCGCACACGCTGCAGCAACACAGCACCGCACACACAACCGCACACGCTGCAGCAACACAACACCGCACGTGCCGCAGCACCGCACACACAACCTCACACGCTGCAGCACACAACACCGCACACACTGCAGCAACACAGCACCGCACACACAACCGCACACGCTGCAGCAACACAACACCGCACGTGCCGCAGCACCGCACACACAACCTCACACGCTGCAGCACACAACACCGCACACACTGCAGCAACACAGCACCGCACACACAACCGCACACGCTGCAGCAACACAACACCGCACGTGCCGCAGCACCGCACACACAACCTCACACGCTGCAGCACACAACACCGCACACGCTGCAGCAACACAGCACCGCACACACAACCGCACACGCTGCAGCAACACAACACCGCACGTGCCGCAGCACCGCACACACAACCTCACACGCTGCAGCACACAACACCGCACACGCTGCAGCAACACAGCACCGCACACACAACCGCACACGCTGCAGCAACACAACACCGCACGTGCCGCAGCACCGCACACACAACCTCACACGCTGCAGCACACAACACCGCACACGCTGCAGCAACACAGCACCGCACACACAACCGCACACGCTGCAGCAACACAACACCGCACGTGCCGCAGCACCGCACACACAACCTCACACGCTGCAGCACACAACACCGCACACGCTGCAGCAACACAGCACCGCACACACAACCGCACA